GATGGCAAGCATAAGAGCGTCTAGGAATGTTGTTAGACTATGTTGTTAGACCTAATAAGGGAATTTATCACACCTTTTATTATTATTATAAGCCAACTGTCAAAATTTGTATGGAAACTCATTTACAAATTTCTGATAAATTTCGCTAACGATTTCACTGACCAATCTTGATAAACTGAAGCCAATGCAACTCTGTTGCAGTGTAAACGAAAAGAGAGTATGGGGCGTTCATGAAACAGATATTAGGAGTATACTCGTACGCCCAACTATCTAAAGTTTTAGAAAACTTTTACTGGTTTTGCGTTCTCGTACCCAAAAAACTTGCAAAGCAGGGGAAATTGAGAGAGCAAAATGTGAAAGAGAGCTGCAAATTTCTACTGGAAAATTTTTTCCCAGCTGAAACTTGCAGGTAAGAAAATCAGCTGATCGCAAACACATGTTTGTTAATAAACAAAAGAAAATATGGCCGTTTTGAGTTATTTATTGCAAATTTTATTGTTATTGCTAATATACAAGTGAATAAATTTAATAAGCACAACGTTTGTTGAGTTTATTTTTAGTTAATATACTATTAATCTCCAGTTTGTTTACTTTAGTGTGTGCTGACTATGGTTGCCGTATTTCATTTTTCATTACAATAATAATTTACCTTTAAATATACCAAAATAGATTTAAATGCAGCATGCTAAATGTTTTTTTGCTGAAGTTTTCGGTTTTGGTAGGTTGGTTGTTGAAATAAAAATTTTATAATTTTAAAGCTACATCTGTAGCTATATCTATTACATTTTTTTGGATCAATGATGGGTGTTTCGAGGAGATGCTCTTGTTTTTCAATGAATCACCATGTGATATCACAAATAATTATGAGAAAAATAACTTAATCATTTCGATATAATGAATTTGTATTTTAAATAGGTTTTTCCTATCCAAAACTACTCAATTGTATAAAATGCCAAATCGGTGGAAAATGTACCGAGCAGAAAATAAATTGCCAAATTTATCACCAGTGGCAACTGTGCAAGTGATCAGCTGTTTCGAAGGTTGCAAGTTTTTGCAAATTTTGCGTTCTCGCACTTCTGTCAGTGATGCCAGATATTTTCTGCTAAATTACCCACGGAAGTCGGGAAAAAATCCCTCAATTACCCACATCTTAAAAATTTATCCCACAAAATTCCCCAAACAATTCAAAACATGTATTTCAGTAGTAAAAAAGTAGCATTCATATATGTACTTACTTCGTTACATTAATATACATATACGTATAATATTCTTTCGAAATGCGAAGATCGGTAGATTACGCACTAAAAACCTTAAAGAATTCTGGAAATTCTTAAAACTACCACTGTTACAATTTATTTGCATTGTCTAAGCAAATATGATTTTTGTTGACTTTAAAGCTGAATCACTTACATTTTTTTTGATTCAAAAGCAACCGTTATTTTATATACATACATGTACTATTTAACTTTTCATCAGATAATTTGGGCTGCTTTTTACATTAAAACCCAATTACAATTGGAAAGATTCATTCTTAGTCAGCGCTCGAATTGGTTAAACTGAGAAAAATTTCCAAATTTTCCTTTTTTAATACTTATACATAGCTTATCCACATCACAACTTCAGAACGATTAATTTCGTAAGAGTGTCGACTGTTCTTGAATTCTGATCAATTATGGATCGATAATTGTGTAAAGTGAAAATCCCTTTTTTCTCCCTTTTAATAATTTTTGTTGCAAAATATCCCTCAAATAGGGAAATTACCCACAATCTGGCATCACTGACTTCTGTTGATATTTCGTCTCCTTGAGAGCTAAAGGTGCTAAATTCTCAGAACTTTTGCTGCTGGAGAATTTTGCCCTCTCAATACGAGTACACACCTATTAACTTAAATATCGGTACTGAAACGCTGTTGTATAAGTATAGCATTTTACTTTGAAATGCAGAAAATTATCTTTGACACATTTTAACAGATGGCAATCGAAATTTCAATTACGTTTGGTCGAAGGCGAAAATTTAAAAATAGCTCTTTACGCTGTAGTTTTTACGGAAATTGGCGTTTAATGAAATAAAAGTATTCGTTTAACTTACGCGGTTTGATCTTATTTGGTAAAGACCAATTTTTATTTATTTTTATTGTTCACCCTAGGAATCACGAAAATTCCTGGAATTAACATTTTTCGCATACCGAAATCCCGGGAATGTTAAAATGCTTCGGGATTGAATGTAACAGTCTTAAAAACTTTGGTAAATTGCCCCACTTTTCCGTTTTTCAGTTTCTATTTTCTTACATCGAATAATACGTCTCACTTGTTTTCTCAACTGCCGGTAGCGCTTCTATATTTACATACTGCATACCTACATTACTCCTTATGTTCGAAATTTGTTCGCCTTCTCTCTGAGCCACAGGCTTTTGTGCTCCAACGAATCTTTTAACGAAAGATTCGTTACTAAAAACCTATTTCACCAACAAACTTGTAAAAATCAAACACTTATTTCCTTCAAATGCATTGCGAAATCTATCGAAGTATTATGTTCACTTTTATTAGTCCAATTTGTTTGTTGTTATAAATATATGTATATTTGCAAATATAATTAGGTTTTAGTAAAACATTAACTTCCACAATTTGTTTATATCGATTACTATGCAATGTTTTGTTTTTATCTACCCAATATAAAACACCGCACAATTTACATATTTCCATGTGCAAATGTTTGCATTAAGTATTCAACTAAATTTTTTTTATTAAATAACGACCTATCTTGTTTTTGGTTTTATTTTGTAGAAAAAATTTCGCATGAAATTCAAAAGCTTGGACAGTTTCTTTAGCTTGTCATTATATCGAGCCCTAGCACGCAAAAAAAACGTAAGCGACATTAAAAAAAATTGTTTTATTTATGCAGATATGCATCTAGATGCACTAGGTGCATTTCTGAAAAAAAAAACAAAGTTTTGAAAAAAATTTCGCTTATACTTTTTTGGCGGTTAGTGCCCGATATGTTTGTATGTAACGTAGTACAGCTTAGAAATAGAATACAAAAATATATGTTTATAGTATGTACGCAATTACTTGAGTATTATCGAAATATTTCGAAGTTTACTTATAAAGGAGTGGAATATTATTTTTCGAGTTCAAGCACACTTTAAAGCAATATCAAAATCTGCTAATGCAAAATTGGGATTTCTAAAGGGGTTCAAGGTAATGAAGGCTACGTGTTTAATCTTGCAAATAAATTGCGTAAAATTTTTATTTTGTATTATAAAAAATTTGGTTTGAACCAATGTACATACGGTATTTCTACTTGAATTGCAAAAAGGCAGTTTATATTTAATGTTTTTTTTTTTTGGTTTGTTTTATATGTATTTGGAAATATTGAGTACGAGCGTTTAAAAATGGAATGTAAAATTTTTTTATGTTTTTTTTTGTTGGTTACTTTTTTTGCATTCAATTACGTTTAATCCATGCTCTATGGGAATTGTCATAAGATTTATGTTTGTGAAAATTTCTGCTTATTTTTAATGATTCTCTGCAGGACTGCTATTGTGGGTTCTCATTACAAATGCTTCAAAAAATCTAGTAGTTATTCAGCTCGGCATACTCCAACTCTTGTGCAATTGTTTTGTACTTTTCCAGGCCTTTGCTGACTTCGGCTGTTAATTTTGCACGCGGAGAAGGAAGGCATGTAAGAGACAGAGAAAATTTTTAGTGATATTGAAATATAAAATTGTATTTAAATTTTTACAATTTTTTACCTGACAAAAACCAATATAAAATTTAAAAGATAAACAAAATAGTTTTTTATTCAACATTTATCTGCTGTTGGAAATAATATTTATTTTATATACTCTTCAAATGTTTCTTACACGAGCGTGCATAGGTGTTACTACATACAAGTAAGTACATATAAATGTATACGAATATTTAGTAGTAAAGCAGTAATGTAGTGAAATGAAAAATATGCAAATAATTAAACTAAATAAATACAAATACACAATTAAATATTTGGTTTTCTCTTTATCTTGGTTAACATCATCAATGAGCTTTACATACAACTAGCCAAAGGCAACTATTTACATACATACAGCTACGAGCGTTCAAATATAATACAAATCAAAACTGTAAACTTCAGCAAGCCAAGTGACAAATATTCGATTCGTGTGTCACTAATCCGGCTAGACTATTAAAGTCAGATGTATTATAAACACGCAGAAGAAATGGAATTGTTTCGCGTTTAAGAACTTTGATTGTTGCCGTTGCTGCTGCTGACTTCGCCGCGGCACTGGTTGTTGTAGAGCTTGTGTTGTTGCGGTGGTAAAATGTGTGAACTCTATTCCTTGAGAATGAGCTCGACGAAGGCGGTGTCGAGATCGTCTCCAATATCCTTGTAACGTTCCTTCTCCAAGACAAGGTCGTCTAATGAATTTAGGTGGGTAGAAATAAAATAAAGCAAAATAATTAAAATTTAATTGAAAAAGGTAAAAAAAAAAACATTTAACAAAAGTATACATATAAAAATAACATTTACACATGTACGCACTTATATATTATGTAAACTTCACATATTTTCGACTAAACAATTAGACTTAAATAAAGAAAAGAAAATACATAAATTTACATATTACGATACAATGGAGATTTGTGAGGAAATCTTTATTAAAACACAAAATTTGTTGCATTGTATTTTGTAGCAGAAAATACGTATTACACCCAGTAGAAAAAGTTTCCGAACAGAGAATTTTTTTACAATATTGATAGTTCCATAAAAATCGTTAACTTTTCATAAAAATTTTGTAGCAACTTTAAACCAGCAGATTATACTAAACTTGGATGGACTATAAAATTGTTATACCAAAGAATTTCTCTCTCTGACTACTCTCTCTGACAAAAAAGATTTAATTTTGCTTAAAATTTTTCAAATTTTAGCCGAAGGTTAAACAATTTTTAAATAGACTGAACCATATTTTTTTAACATGAAATTTTAAACAAAAATTTCTATACGGAGTCGGTTTCTAGTGGGTGTAGTGAGTGTTAGTTTCTGGAAATCATATTAAATAATAAATTCGAAGGTTCAAGAATAAATATAATTAAGTTAATTTATTTCGAGTCAAAAGAAAAAAATTGCATTTTACTTAATACGATTTTTCTCAGAAATCCATTGTTTCGTCTTAAAAATAAATCAATCATAGTGTTCGATAACAGATAAAAATTAAATTGTATTCACGTAATGGAAAACAAAATTAAAAGCACAAAAACAAAAAATAAAATACATTAATTAAAAATAAAGTTTACCTTTTCTTGCTTCATTAGACGGCGGAAGGTTCAAAAGCGGCTTCATACATTCGCATTGGCTTCTTGTCGTTGTTAGTGCAGCAGCCGTGTCGCTTTGCGGTTTATTATTTAAAGAGCGTTTGTTTTCTCATAAAAAGCAAATACAAAATAAGCTGGCAAGCTGCTATTAGCGAAAAGTAAAAACTTCCTCACAATACAGCCGCCGCCAATAGGCAGGCAATTTATTTCCGAATAGCATTTTTAATTTTTTATAGATTTTTTATTTTCAATATTAAATAAAGAGGAAAATAAACATAACAAATGCATTGGTTTAAATTAAATAGGTTTTAAAACAATAGGGCTGTTCACGGTTGCCATGGTTCAAGACTATTTCCACAATATCCTGAACAGCCCTAGTATATTTTACTGTGGATCCTCTAAAATAAACGTGTTCATGCAAACAACTAAATAAAACTGGCAGCTTTCATAGCGGCTGTGTTTATTGCCTATGCGCGTATGTGATTGTCGCGCCCTAAGAAGAGGTTGTCTTTGCACTCCAGGTGCTGGCATATTAAATTTTTACATAAATTTTACTTTTTTGAGACAGCGATTCACCACCTAAATTAAGCTGTTGGCGCGGGTTCTGGGGCAGCCTCTGCAGCTGGAGCAGCCTCTGCGGCGACAGGTGCAGCTTCGGTAGCTGGAGCAGCCTCTGCGGCAGCAGGTGCGGCTTCTGCTGCTGGCGCGCCCTCAGCAGCTGGTGGGGCAGCCGCTTCCGGAGCAGGCGCCGGTGTGCCAGCTTCTGCTGGTGGAGCCGCGGCTGCCTCTGCGGGTGCACCTTCGGCTGGTGCTGCTGCGGCAGCTGGAGCACCTTCTGCAGGTGCGGCAGCAGCCGGAGCTCCCTCAACCGGCGGGGCAGCTGCTGGTGCGCCTTCCGCTGGCGGTGCGCCTTCAGCTGGTGCTGCAGCTTCGCCTTCTGCTGGTTCCGCGCCAGGTGGTGGTCCTTCGTAGTTCTTGACGAATGGCACCTCAGCGCCCTCTGGTGGCAAATCAATGGAGTATTCAAATGGTGGTGGTGGTGGCGGTGGTGGTGTTGGTTCCTTGACTGGCTCAGGCTCAGCGGCCGCGGCCGCAGCTTCGCCTGGTGGTGCGCCTGAAGGTCTTCTGACGACAGCCTCTCCACCCTCGGCTGCGGCAGCTTCTGCTGCTGCGGCTGCTTCCGCCTCTGCAGCCGCTGCTGCTTCCGCCTCAGCTTTGGCAGCTTCTGCAGCGGCAATTTCCTCAGGAGTGGGCGTTGGCAATTTAGGTGTTGGCGGTTTGGGATTGCGTGGCGTCCAGAATGGTTCAAGTCCGGGTATCAGATCCAGGAAGGCCAGGTCAAGACTGTCGCCAATAAGGCAATAACGTTCCTTCTCAACAATAAGATCATCTTATTTTTTTTTCAGGATCAAACGTTTTCAAGTGTTATTGATGCATTATCGACGTGGTTTTTAATTTTGTGATTAGAGATGGCATGATGGTTTGATGAGCCAAAATGCAAGAAGATAGCAAGGACATGCGAGCAGTAAGAAGATCGAAAAATATAAAATGCAAATTAATCAGAAATAAAGTGTATAGCAAAACTTAAATTAGAGCCAATTTAAAATATATGAATGTTAAAATATAATCAATAAGGGTTTAACAGAATGAAGGGTTGGTTGCACATTTTTTTGGCAGGTTACTAGTAGGAATCTTTTTTGTTAGACAGGCAAATGGGAATACGCGACATTTAAACACACACAAGTGCAGCAGACCATTCCAGGCAACATATCAGAAATCGTCGAGCATGTTTCGTATCCGAGCCGAATTGAAATTGATAGGAGTTAATAAATTTTTGGCATCCAAATTTATTTTGTTTTTAAGAAGTCGCAGTTAATCACAGTATTCTATTTTATATAAATAACTCGTCCAGCATTGTTTAGTCATCCCAGAAAACCTTAAGCGGGTGGCGCTTCGGCAGGAACATCAGCAGGAGGGGCGGGTGCCGCCTCTGCAGACGCAGCAGCTGGGGCATCAGCGGCTGGAGCAGCAGCAGGAGCACTGCCTGCAGCAGGGGCCGCCTCAGCTGCTGGCGCTGGAGTGCCTTCGGCCGCAGGAGCAGCGCCCTCTGCTGGCGGTGGTGCTGGTGCTCCTTCGGCTGGTGGGGCACCCTCGACAGCTGGAGCAGGCGCGCCTTCAGCCGGTGCAGCACCTTCTACAGCTGGAGCACCTTCAGCTGGTGCCGCGCCCTCCTCCGTTGGTGGTGGCACATTGCTGGGGTCGAAGTTCTTTACGTATGGCACTTCAGCGCCCTCTGGTGGCAGATCGATGGCATATTCGAATGGTGGTGGCGGTGGTGGTGGAGGTGTAGGTTCCTTTACTACTGGCTCAACGGCAGCCTCAGCTTCAGCACCTTCCGCAGCACCTTCACCGGCTGTTGGTGCTCCTTCGGCAGCTGGTGAGCCACCCTCGACCGTTTCACCACGTTCGGCCGCTTCAGCAGCTGCTTGGGCCGCCGCTTCTGCTTCAGCAGCTGCAGCCTCGGCTGCAGCAATTTCTTCAGGTGTTGGTGTAGGTACCCGGGGTTTGGGATTACGATCGGTGTAGAACGGTTCCATGCCCATTAGATCAACGAAGGCCAAATCGAGGCTGTCACCTATCATTGCATAGTGCTCCTTCTCAATAATCATTTCATCTGGTGAATGTTGGTAGGCGGCGCAAACGCGTTCATGGGCAGTTATGCGTTTATGTATACCATTGAATGGTTGTAGGGTTGGTTGGTTGGTCGGTAGGTTGGTTGGTTGACAGGTTGGTTGTACGGATTTATTGTGGTTAAGTAGGCGGTTATCAATAAAATAAACAAAGCGGCGAACGTGGGGCAAGATGAATAAAATCAAATAAAAAGAAGCGAAATTAAAATTAAGTCTATATAGTAACCCTTTAAGTGATATTATTATAATGCACTGCTGATCATGATGAATATACTGTAGCTGTGAATAATTGAGATGCTGAGTTCAAAATTGTTTGTAACACCAATTGGGCGGGGCAACAGCGACACGACACGATAGCGTATTTCGTTTAATAGTAAAGAACTTAAGTAGTATAAATACGTACATACATTTACTAAATTACTATCACATAGCAAAACAGGCTAATTTTCAGGAGACGTTTATAGTTTTAAATTCATTTCATCGTGCAGAAAACGGGGAAAAATCATATTTTACGCCAGTGCGGAAACTGCACAAGATTTTACCATGGTATTTTTACACAGTGTAATATCAAGTGTAATTCTACATCGTTGCCTCAGAGACAGTATTTTAGAAAAGGATCGATATGTTATTACTACATACTACATACATATTTGTTGCAGTTTATTAAAACAACTTAAGTGATTTTAGAATGTCTGACTTTGAATTAAAGAATAATAAGTTTCAATTGAATTGTATATATTTATGAAGCTTCTATTAAAAGGGCTTCTTGGTTGGTAACCCAATATTGCTTTAAGGCAGAGGTTCCCAAACTTTTTTTTCTCGTAGACCCCTTTCAAAAATTCAAATTTTCTGGTTTCGGTGGACTGATACATTTCTAAATATTCCCAGAGCTCGTAAAAAATTTAAATGTGAAAATGTGAAAATTAGATCGCGGGTGAATTCAAAAACTAAAATCAGAGTGGCCAAAATAAAAGTAAAATATTTTCTATTTATAAAAAGAATGTGATTACACACTTGTAGGTTTTAAAAAATAGAGCTCGTAAATACATCAAAATTCTCTCTCGCTCGGAAGAGTTATATTTTTTAAGAGCACTGAAAGCGCTAGTTATTTACATTATCTTCACCATAAACTCATCAAATGTTCGGCCCACTCATGACTTTGCACGTGGAGTATATGTATAATTGTTTATTTGTGTTAATCATTTTTATTTTTATCGCTCCGAGTTTTAAAGTGAGGCAAAAAATATTTACCACATTTTTAAAACACAAAACCTAAAACATCAAAACGGCTAAGCTTTTTACGCCAAACTTTTAATTAAGAAACTAACAATAGAGAAAAGAGCGAGTTTAAAATAATCGATGACAAATAACCAAGCAAGCAAGAAGCACAAAAAGTGTTCCACCGTCTCATCTTCTTCAAGGCAAGATCGGCAAATGGACTTGTCATTTACGCCTATCACAGTCAGGTGTTTGTGCCAAATGAAGTGACCAGTCAGCAGTCCAGCAAGTTGTCTGCAGTGTCGTCTGCTCATTGAGAGCAAACAAATTAGATAGACCTTGTGAGATTGAAGGCAACATGAGTTTTGCCCACCTCGATGCCTCTCAGTCATTTCTGAGCGAAATATTCTCCCAGTTTCTGATGGTGGCTTCGATTGCCGAAGGTGGGACTGCTAAAACTGGTTGCGGACCGAGGAATGCCTGGTCGGAGCAAACTCTGGCCAAATGATCAGATGTCTCATAACGAGGTAGTCCAGAGTGACCTGGCACCCAGAGTAAAACAATCTCGATATGTTCACCATCATATTTTAGTCGAGCCTTGCATTGCCGAACTAGTTTGGAAGTACTTATAGATGGCTGGTCAATGCCTTAAGTGCAGCTTGGTTGTCACGTAAACTCCTTCCCATCCACCTATGTTCCACCACGTAGTTCATGGCTTTGAGTATTGCCATTACCTCAGCCTAGAAGACTGAAGCATATTCCCCTACAGAAAAGCGAAGCTTATCTGCATTAACCTCGAAAAACACCCCAAATCATGACCCAGAATCAGTTTTGGAGCCATCAGTGAAGATTCGACAATATGTGAGTCTGGTCTAAGCGATGGAATCAAACCAGAATTCAGTCTCGGGAACTCAACATTATAGAAAACAAAGGTAATGGTGGCGTACTATCCTGTAGCATTGAAAAGACACAAGTGCTTAAATCTCTGCCGCCAGCAATTTTCGCCGCGCCCCACTCATTGTCATACCAGCATCCGGTTCTTTTTAGTCAGCAAGTGGCCTTTAAGGCTTTCCCACGTATGAAAATACAAAGTGCCGGTAAGTGCAGCAGTGCGTCAAGAGCACTATACACCATTCAAAAAAATTAAAGTTAAATAAGAGGCTATCAAGCAACCATTTTGGTTCTTTACATCGAAACCAGATAAATTTTCGTGGACCCCCATTTACAACTCATGAACCCTCATATTTTGTTCACGTCACCGTGGACCCCCGTCGAGTCTGCCGTGGGGGTCCACCTGGTCCACTTTGGGAATCACTGCTTTAAGGGGAGAATTGCCTATCTCGTGATTAGCTGTTTTAATAAAATGCCGTGTATATTTTTTCACACGCTTGGTAGTCAAAATACTTGTGTTAGTTTATTTTTGGAAAAATACTTTATTTGTGCAAATTGCAGCTGAATCATATGTAAATGTATTTATATGTAAAAATATAAATAATAATTTGCCTTCGCAGTTAATTGATTTTACGTAAATAAACTGAATGCAAAATTGCATACATTACTTCTTATGTGTTTCTAAATTTACTGCAGGCTAAGAATTGAGTTTTATTTTATTTTTTATTTGTTTTTTTTTGTGGAACAACAGCAATCTTAAATCTTTTAGGGTTTTTTTTTTTATAATTTGTAACTATTTTTATTGTCGTTCTATAAATGTTTTCTGCGTGTGGGAAGTAGGAAGCGAAATTGTAAGGAGACAGGATAGTGGGACTAAAGGCATTAGGAAAATACTTAAAAATTAAACAGATATTACACAAAAATTCTAGAAATTCTCGTTTTATGTCCTTTTGTCTCTGCTGTCTTTTCATTTACAATAATCAAATATTTATTAATACATAGAAATAGGTAGCATTTTGTCTTTCTTCGTTTTAGGTATCAAACAGAAAATTACATACAAGCGCACAAGGTTCAAAAAATAAAATAATTTTTTTATTAAATTAAAGTTATAAATTAGTGTCTTCGTATTCAGCATTATTAATGCTTTTGTTGCAAATGTCTTATTAGTGCATATACTTTTTAATTTAAATGTTTTAAATAGTGTAATTTATTAGCAACAGGCGCAACAAACACGATTAAAATAAAACAAAATAAATTATTAAACTTGAAACAAAAAGTTTATATTGCAAAAGGACAATTTGATTATTGATTATTTAAGTCAAGAAAAAATTTATATTTACTTTTACTTGCTTTTTATACTGGCAAATCTTAACATTTCTCGCTTAAATTTGCATAAGCTAATTTAGTTTCGTAATATTTTTTAATTTCAGCACACTTTGTAGTGAAAAGTTATACTCTAAAAAAATGTGTGTATAAAATGGAATATTTTGCTCAATAATTGGAATGTTCGAAAATGCATAAGTGTAGAGTTGCAACGTGAATACTTTTTCTACATTTTTTTTTTAAATGTTTACAATTAGTATTTTTCAGGAATGCAGCTTAGAATTTAAATTTAAAAATGCTATATAGTGAAATAGATTTTTTGTTTGTTAGTTAAAAAATCATAATTTTTGTTTTGCAATTTATTCTTTTATCTGCTTCTATCAATCATTTTGCTGTTGCTGTTGTTGCTCTACTACAAGTAGTTTATGTTACGCTGCACGATTCGCTTTGCAACAAAATGCTTTAAATAAATTTAATTATTATTGTTTTTTTTTAACATTATGGAAGGATGCCCACTCCGCCGACTCGATATCATTTAAAAGGCCCGCTGAAGGCACCTCCATTCGTGGTGTGTTAGGCAGCAAAGACACTCATTCATGTACATACATAAATACGTATGTATGTACGCACATATGTATTCTTGCATACATTTGTTTTTCTTACGATGTTGTTGCAGTTTTTGTAATAGTTGTTGTTTAATGCAGTTGTTTCTTAATATTTTTTTCACTGTATCGTAGTTAAATAAGAGTGTATGTAAGTTATAATGCTGGCATGTATGTATGTATGTATGTATATACGTATGTATGTTTTGTATACATGGCTATGTAGGAGGAGGCCACAATGGAGCGAGTGGGAGTGGCAGTGGCGTTGATGTAGCAAATTATATTCACATATTTTGAATATCATGCAGAGTGGCTTCCATTTCTTCCTGCAGCAGTTTGTTCTTATTGCGTTCGTTCATAAGATCATCTGAGCAGTTGTTTTTGGTGGATGTTGTTTGTTTGTTCACATATTTTGAGTGTTTTTTTAATACAATAAGTTTTACATGGTTTCAGTACATAAACAAATCAAAAAAATAAATAACAATAAATAAATAAAAAATAACGTATTGTTAATATTTAAAAGTTAACAAGAACAAAGATAGTAAAATAAAAAATATAATTATTTTTTAAACACAATAATTTCGTTCAAACACAAAATTTTTTTGTATTAAGTTGTTTTTTTTTTTTTGTTTAGCAGTCAATAGGCGGAGCAGGTAGGCGAGCGAGCAGGAAAGCACATAACATGAAAGAATAAATTAATTGGCATAAATAAAGAACCAAAAAATTAAAAGACGGTGTACAAAATTATGTTGCACAATCAAAATTTTAATCAAAATACATAAATAAATAAATAAATACAAATAAATAAATAAATACAAATAAATAAAT